ATCTGGGAGTGTATTTGGAACTTATAAAGTACTTAATTTTAGCTGTGGTTCCTTCTGTTCATATACTTTTCCATGCCCTCCTACTGTCTTTGCATTATAGCAGAGGGTACTTGGAACTGTTAAAGTGCTTCATTGCAGCTGTGTCACTTTTGTAGTTTAGGATCCCATGACTTCCCAGCCCCTTTACATTACCTAGAAAGGCATCTGGGACTGTTAAGGTGCTAACTGCAGCTGTGGTCCCTTCTGTTAGTCTAGGATCCCATTCTCTTGTACTCCCTTTGCAATACTTGGGGAAGGTTTTTTGGGACCATTAAAGGGCGCTGTTGCAGGTGTGGTCCTTTCTCCTACTCTGAGATCCATGCCCTTCAAACTTTGGGTTACTGCTGAGGGCACTTGGTACTATGAATGTGCTCAAATGCAGATTTGGTCCCTTTTCTTAGTCTCAGATCTCATGCCTTCCAACTCCTTGTACATTATCAGAGAGGGTGCTTGGGACAGTTTTTATGCTCAGTTACAACAGTGGTCCTTTTTTAGTCTATGATTTCATCCCTTGCCCCTCGCCCCGCAACTTAACTCCCTTTGCATTACCACAGAAGGTACTGGAGACTGTTCAGGTGTATCTCATTCTCTGACCCCCTGTTAGCATTATAGTAAGGGGTGCTGAATACCAAAACCCCCTTTTTTTTGCATTGTTAATGTGCATAATTGCATTTGTTCATCTTTCTCTGCAGTAGATAAGATTTCACTAACTTCCCTTGTATTCAGCAGTGAATGCCCTTTATTCAAGACCTTTGTACTACAATAAAGTGAACCATGGTAATTGACCACACTGTCATTCATTTAAGTCCCCCGTACTCTCTGTATTAATTACTTTAGTTATTTTTTGGGGGGATTATTTGTAGCAAAATTCCAGTGTTTATGGTCCTTCACTTTTAACTAATTTCCCACCCTTTTTGTATTGCATCAGGGGATGTTAGTATCTCAAAGTATTTCTCTTAGGACTCTAAATGTGCATATATCCTCTTGATAAGCTAATATCTTTATTTCTTAGTATTATAGCAGGGGGTACTAACCACCTAAGGTCCTTCTTTTGGACAGTTAATGTGCCAGATTGCACATCCCCAAATTGGGGATCCCATCCGCATCACACCTTCTCTGTGTCAGGCGTGCTGACCAACTATAACTGCTTCTCCTTTATAGTTTAAATGTGCATAATTACAGTAACCAATGGTCCCTTATGTTAGAATGGGATCTCATTTCCTTGCCCAATTTACATTACTGTGGGGGCTTCTGACTAGCCAAGAGTCACTCTCTTGGACTGTTAATGTGCATACTTAAATTCACTCTTATACCTAGATAAGGATTCTCCCCATACTATTTATATTCCAGCAAGAGGTGCCTACTACTTAAGATTTTACACACTAATGCAGTTAATGTGCACAGCCTTTGTTGTCTTGTGCATACTCAGTTGTCCACAACTGTACCTTTTAGTTCAAGACTCCTGCAATTACTGAAGCAGAAATGACTGACCACCTTAAAGCCTTTCTCTTGGGACTCTGGATGTGTGTAGTATTGGTTGTCCACTGTCCTTTGAGTTAACTTGGGTCCCTGAGTCTTTTCACAGCCTCTAAGCTTTACTTCATGGGGTACTGTCCATTTAAGGCCCCTTTCTCAAACTGTTAATGTGCATAATGACAATTACATTGGGATTCTTCCCCTTTACACTCCCTTTGAAGTACTGCAGGGAATTCTGACCCATAAGGTTCCGTTTCATGGCCTGTTAAGATGCATGTTATATTTATCTGGGTTCTTATGTACTAGAGAAGAAAACCTCTCTCCACTCCCTGTATCTTCAAGCAGGGAGTGCCCACTGTACAAGACCGTGCCCTGTACAAGACTGTTGAGCAGTCAAGGAAGACAATTGTAATTGACCACAGCCATGCACCATGGACATTAATGTGCATAATTGCACAGGCTCATCCTGTTTGAATAAGATACTACCTTCTCAGACCCCAGAAGGGGTACTGATCATTAAGACCTTTTTTTCATGCCTTGTGATTATGCATAATTGCATTTGTACATTTTTCTGTACACCAAATAAGGACACCCCTCTCCCCACTCCCTTTATCTTTAGCAAGGAGTGCCCATTATTTTAAGATCCTTGTATCTGTACAAGATACATGGTTTTAGTTGATCATACCATGTCTGTTGGACATTAATGTACATAATTGCAACTTAGTTCATCCTACTCTGTTGTATGTCATTTGCTGTATGCTAGGGTTGCTGATCCCTAACTTATCCTGTTAATGTGCATAATTGCATTAGTCTGGGTTCTTGTGCACTAGATGAGGACATCCTCCACCCCTACTTCTATGCCTTCCAGTAGGTGGTGCCCACTGCTGTGACATTTACATTTGGATGGTTAATGTGCAGAATTGTAGTTTCCACAACCCTATCACTTTCAAAACTAACGTATCTGCTTTGCACTGCTGCAGGGGATACTGTTTTCTCCCCAAGTTCTTTCTAGTAAACCATTAATATTCATAATTGAAATAGTTATACACCCTCAGCTTCCCTTTGCAGTACAGCAGTGTGTACTGATCAACCAAGGCCCTCTTTTGGAGTGGTAATATGTGCAATTGCATTTTTTCCTATTTTGTGCACTCAGTAAGGATCCTGCCTACTTCCTTACCAGGTTCAGCAGGTAGTGTCCACTACTTAAGACTCTTTCACTTGAAAAGTTCATGTGTATAAATGCAGTTTGCTAAGTGTGTCTTATACTAGAACCCCTCTTTGCTTTGGAGTAAGGAGATGTTATTTACCTAATGCCCTTTCTTTTAGACTGTAATGTGCATAATTGCAATTGTCCATCTTTTCTGTTGGACTAGGGTTGCATTCCCTCAAACCCCCTTTGTATCAGGGGTGTGTTAACCATAAATGAGCTCTTCTCTTGAGATTATAATTGTACAGACTTGTATGTGTCTGTGGATTTGTGTAGTGTGAAAGGATGCCCTATGCATTTACCACTATCTTTGGATTGCTGGTGAGGAGTGCTATCATGACCTCAGCTCTTGGACAATTAATGTGCACCACTAGCAATGATGGGACCTCTGTACCCGCTTTGTATACATCAGGGGTACTAAGGCCCCTTTCTTGGACTGTCAATGTGCAATTGTCTATGTTCCCTTCTGTTAGATTTAGGATAACATTCCCTTAAACCCCCTTTGCATTAATGCAGGGGTTGCTGACCACACAAAACTCTATTAGTTTAGAGTTATTAAACTATTAGTGGGCACAATGGCAATTAGTGGGACTATTAGTGGGCACAATGGCAATTAGCAATGGGTTTTTCCTCCCTGGCCTTGTTAGGCAAACACTCCCAGCCCCAATTTCCCTTGGCATAATAAAGTATAAACATGGCAGTATGCTGTGAACTTGTCCATCAAATAGTACCCCACACTCCCTCTCCTTTTGTATTGCTTCTATGTATAAAATTCTAAGTAGTCATGATCTTCCCCTTCCTTCCCTCTTCCCACCCCTTGCTCACCCTTGGACCCATCCAAGGTGCATAAGCACCATTCTCACAATTTCAGGTGTTCATGTATTGGGCCACTAAATAAGATTGTGTTCCTTTTTCCCTCCCAACGCCACCCTGCCCCTTTTGCATTATTGCTGGGGAATGTTGACTGGGCAAGGCCCTTTCTCTTGGATTTAAAACATTAACAATCCCAGATGTCATTGCATTACTCACTTTGTATTGCTGTAATGCCTCAGTTGCACTATCCTTGGTCCCTCCCATCAGACATGGACCCCTCCACTTCTTTGCATTGCTTCTGAGTAATGCTGAGTACCCAAAGTCTCTTCTGTGTTATTAACACAGTACTGATTGTCCCATTTTTTTCAGGTCATCAGCCCAAGATTTTCCTACCATTTTGATGTGTTTGTGCAGTGTTGACTACCCAAAGCAGGCCTGAATTAGGTGGATGGACCTTCACTCCTTTGTCTGCATTTGTTAATAATCCCAATTCCAGTTGTTACATTCTGGGATAGGAACCATCCCTGACCATTTCTGTTACTGCTTCACTGAGCAAAATGCTCAAGGCAAGTCAGGCCTAGAAAGCTGGATTGCCACCTTTTATTTTAGATTTCCAGTATAAGTATCAGTTGAAAATTGTCTCCCCAGGAAGAAAGATTAGCATTGTGTGTGTATTCTTCCTTCCAGAGCAGATTGCCTGGCCAAGAATTTCGCTTCTCCTCTTGTATATTGCTATTGTACTGTGCCAGTTGCCAGCGTACAATTAAAAAAAAAATACTGTTTGCAAGGTGGAATTGTAAACCTGGTCATTGAATTTTGAGGTCCAAAAACCCATTTATACCATGTACCTGATGACCAGTGTCTCTCATTTTACTAAGGGTGCTGGGTCTGTGGATAGACCACTGTGACTCTTGCTATTTTGGTATTCCCAAAAGACTTCTAGAGTGGAACTCTTAAGAGCAATATCTTTGGGTTCTACCACCATTTTAAAACCCATTATTTATTTGGGCTTTACCACTGTTCACTTTTAGAAAAACTACCTAAACATTCTAATCCTTAAATTTCTTCATCTGAAGCATCTACCACCCCTTACTTATTTCAAGAAGATTGCTGTAAAAGAATGAAATTAGAGAACATATGCTGAGGCACTTTTGAAAACCATAATTCATCTTACTTGATTAATCTATTACATAAATAAAATGCACACTATTTAAATCTGCTAATTTAAACTAGCCTGAAGCACTACACTGAAGTGAGGGATTAGAAATGATGGGTCCAATTTCCCTGTTTTAGATTGAAAAATAAGCCAAGATCTAATCATTCTTCTGGACATGAATTTCAACAGCTGCTTGGTAAAATGAATAATATCCTAGTCTCTAGTGTGCAGGGTGTGGCAGATAAGTGTTTAATATGGAACTCCTGAAGCAAATAACTAGTGGTCACAACAGCAGTTCTTTGTAATCACTGAAAAAGGATACTATTCCTCTGACAAGGATGTCAAAAGATCGGCCCAGCTCAGGGTGCAGTATGCACTACTAGCTCCTTGGACAGCTGTAAGAAGAGTCTCTGGCTCTTTAGAATACTGTAAGTACTACTTTGTAGCTATTAAGTAATCTTTTCCGTGTTCTATTTTCTTTCTCTTAAATGCTAGTCGTAGAAAAGTCAGAGGGTCTCCTTCCTTGTTCCTGTCTCATCTGCAATTATATATATATATATATATAATATATATCACCATATGAGTTAACCAACAGAAATATTGTATACCCCACTCTATGCTAGTTTACACTGAAGTGAGGGGTAGAAATGATGTAGTCCTATATAATCTCATTTCTGCGATGGTTGTATTTCTGGGAAGCTAATATAAGCACACTTGAAATACCTTTAGGGAATGATAATCAAGTGCTGTGTGGTGTGAATTGTAAGTTACAGTTTTAAAAAGGGAGCCCACTAGGCTTTGAAGTTAGTTGGATCAACTTAAAGAGGGAGGTGGGTTTACTTTTTCTCTTTGGTCTACGATATGATTAATATTGCAGCCATATGTGTAGTCCAGTTGGTTTATTTTAGTGTCATTTTGTTTTTACCTCTTTTAGAGGTATGAAAAGTGATTAAAGAGACAAGACCTAGCTTGTTGTGTTTGGCTATATGCCAAGGCTGGGGAATTGTTGATTGTCAAATCTCATTATAAGCTTGAACTTTTCAAGGTTCAGGGATTGGGGGTATAAATCTGATACGTTGGCATTTTGTACCTTTTTATTCTATCTCTGCCCCAAAACATGAGAGTAGTGATGCCTTTTTAGTTTGAGATATTTGTAGAACCTTCTTTGCAAGAAGGCAATGGAGAAATGTAAGTTTTATAAGAAAACCATGGCATTGCCCACTTTTATGAAGTTAAATATACCATTTCCCCTTCCCCTTTTCTCAGCAGATGTTTTGATAAGCTAAAAAGCTTAGCCTCCCTGGTATGAAACAAACTGAAAAAGGTCCAGCTGAAAAAAAATATTAACATCAAATTCGAAACTTTTGTGCATACCCATGCATCCTGGCAGGAGCAAGAAGAACCATACTAATGAGTGGAGCTTCTCTTACTGCTCATTTTAATTCCTATCCATATTTCCTCATGGCTTGTTTTCCACCAATGCCTAAAGACATCCCCCAGTCTGACTGGTAGTAGTATACAAATGATTCTGAGCCACCTTGGAAATGTGGTCTATGCCATTGTTTTTCAAACTGAAGTAATTAGTCAGGATAAAATGCGTTTTAAAGGAACAAAATTTCTTGAGATCCTAAAGAATATATGTTTTGAGAAACAGTGACTTAACAAGGTTATTTGAAATGTAAACGTGTTTTCCAATTTTAAGATATCTTTATTAAAGGTATATGATGTTTTATATAATTTATGTAGGATTTGGGGATCCCTGAGAATATATCCACAAACCCCCAGGGTTCTTATCACCCCAATTTGAGAAACACTGGTCTATGCTTGAGACCTTTTTTTGTTGCTAATAAAATTATTCAACATTGATATACAACTATAAATATTTATTGGAATTTGTTTTAAAGGGATCAATTCTGAGCTGGTTCTATACCCCCACTGAAGAGGAAGGATGGATCAATTTTAAGTGGATTGAAGCCTGCACTAGACAGCATCCAAAGGTGAATCTTGGATATTATATTATATTATAGTTATAATATAATTAATTATATTATATTTCAATTCATTGCTTGAAATAAAGTCTCTAGCATTTATAAAATGGGATGCTCTGAAAATGTGGGCATCTTCAAAATTGATATAATCTTTGTGTTAACTCAACAAATACTTATTGGGTTATACACTGGAATAAATAACAAAACCATAGATACAATTCCTGTCAACAAGGATGCTAAAATGAGCAAATAATTATGCTGTTGGGCAATTTGATGAGTAGCATAAACATGTTGGGAAGTTCTGTGGGGCACAGAGGAAGAAGAGTGAAAGAAACACTCTTATTGAGCAAAGTGATGGCAAGGGGAAAATGCAAAGTATGACTAGGGAGCACTTTGATCAGTTTACTCGGGATATGTAGGCTAAAGGCTTACAGACACAACTTCAGTATTTCTTGCTTTTTGCAAGTGTATTTTAATGAAGCACATGTTTTCTTAGATAGAGTCACCTTTTTCATGAGTTTGGGGACAGAAGGAATGAGATGCTGGCAAATTTATGAAAAAGTTCAGAAGTGGGAATAGGAACATCTAGCCTTTGGTCCTGGTCCTTGGATAAAATCACCATCTGTCTCAACTTCAGTCTAGGGATGGCTGATAAATTAAGACAGAGACTTGAATCGAATGTCTCAATCCCTGAAAATGACATTTTGTCATTTGCAAAATTGGAAGGCACTTAAGGTTTTTTTGGGGCATTTCTCTAAGTGGTTATTGTGATTTCATTTCTGACTTTCTTTCTTATAGAACCTTAATATATAGGATTGGAGGAAGTTTTCTGATCCTTGTTTTGTGCATCTTTTCCCAAATACCCCTTTAGTTTTTCTAACTTTCTACAACTTATCTACCCATTTCTCTAACCACCTCCCTAAATTGTAGGAAAACATAAGACCTAGGGCTGCTATGATTAAGCATTCATAATTTTTTTCAGGATATCGGCCCTGGTTAGCAAATGTACACCTGCATGGGAGTTTGACTTGAAGTAAATAATTTAAAAAGTTAATCTGTGGTGTCTGCTAAAATGTTCTTATTTGTGAAAGTGTTCTGGGAATTTACCATATTAAAGAGAAGAAAATTGATATCTGAACTGAGGTAACTGTTCCCCCAAACCTTATAAACTTGGTTGGTGACAGAGTATTGATGGTGTATGGTTAAACAGAGCTAATGCCTTCCTCTGTCTCAAGCCTTGCAGATTGGATTGGAAGAAAGCTTGATATTCTCAGTACCATAGTTTTGGCATAGACAAATGGCACTTAACACTGGTTTCCCTCAAAATCCAACTCAAGTTGAATCTTAAGTATTTGTTTGAGACTTAGCTGACCCAATGAATTTAACAAGTTAAACTTCAATGGCCATGCACAGTTATATATCATTATATTGATGATATTGTGTTGACTTTTTATTGGTGATTTAGGTTTTACTGGATTGCTTTTCCTTGATCTCTCCAAATTAGAGTACTGAGACATCGAATGTTAGGCTCCTTGTGCTCCCTGTGCAAATGAATTTGTTAAAGAACTCTATCCTTCATTCTGATGACTACGTTGGAAATGAGCTTTTGATTTCTTCATGATAGGATGAGAGATTGAAGCAAATTTTAAATTTGGCCAGTGCTAGATTTCTTAGATGTTGGGTAGACTTATTATTTTGTTTGACCAACTAGAATGCTATTCTAGTTTCCCCAGAAATGTTAGAGGCTATGCAGCAGATCCAAGTAATACTTTCTTATTGCATAAAATATGTAACTGAATGTTTGTAACAGTTTGGAAGTAAGGATATTGCTGGGAGATCAGTGTACATTACCATGTCTCATAAAATTTCTAGGTTACCTTATCCATAGAGGTGAAAACTTTTGTCATACTCTATTTTTACATTACTGGAGTCATTACCAAATACCTAGGTTACTTTAATTCATAGCTTTGAAAACTTATGGCATACTATATTTTTTGTTTGTTAGTATGCTTGCCATTGTTTAGCATTGGTATGCAATTATTCTATGATCTATATACCATTAGAATTTTTTAGCCTTACATGTTTCCCTGACTGAAAACTGTCTATAACTCACTGCCTTCGTTTTGTAATGGATTGACTGGGTCCTTCCATAAAGTCTGATGAACAAGAACAAGAGTTTAATTGCTAATTTTAATAACTTTGACATTGTGGATTCTTCATATTTGGGCCTCATATGTTTCAACTTTAAAACTAAGTACAATTAAATCCTTATAAACAGAAAAGAAAAAGCAAGTCTTTAGGCCAGATTTGCCAACAATGATGATACCTACTGTAGCAAAATCTGGAACACAGAATTACCAGTTCTCAGGTCCATTTTGCACTTGCTTTAAAAAAAAACATGTTGGGGCGCCTGGGTGGCGCAGTCGGTTAAGCGTCCGACTTCAGCCAGGTCACGATCTTTGCTTGATCCATTCGGGCCCGGTCGGGCTCTGGGCTGATGGCTCAGAGCCTGGAGCCTGTTTCGATTCTGTGTCTCCTCTCTCTCTGTAGTTCATGCTCCTGTCTCTCTCTGTCCCAAAAATAAATAAACGTTGAAAAAAATAAATAAATAAATAAAAAATTTAAAAAAACATGTTGTATGGAAACCAATTTGACAACAAATTTCATATTAAAAAATAAATAAAACAAAACAAAAACCCTGCGATTTTTAAGCTTTCAGCATCTGGTTGGAAGATTTAAAAGAAAAAAAAACTTGCTTATTTTAGAGGTTTACAGAATGGTTTTGAAGATAGTACAGAGGGAGTTTCTGTATACCCCACACCCATTTTTCCTTATTATTAACATGTTATAGTGCTGTGATACATTTGTCACAATTAGTGAACCACTATTGCTACATTATTATTAACTAAAGTCCATACTTTATTTACATTTCCTCAGTTTTTCTTTAATGCTTTTTTAATGTTACAGGATCCCATCCAAGATACCACATTTTATCTAGTAGTCATGTCTTCCTTAGGCTCCTCTTAGTTATGATAATTTCTCAGACTTTATTTTTTGATAGCCTTGACAATTTTGAGGACTAACGGTCAAGTATTCTGTAAAATGTCCCTTTATTGGATTTGTCTGATGTTCTTCTCATGACAAGACTCAGCATGAGTTTTTGGGTGGAAGACTACAGAAATAGATTGCCATTTTTACTTCTTGAGTACATACTATCAATATGACGTATCATTGTTGATATTGATCCTTATCACTTGGCTAAGGTACTGTTTGCCAAGTTTCTTCACTTAACATATAAAATTATTTTTTCCCTGAGGCTCCTGGGTGGCTCAGTTGGTTGAACATCTGACTTTTGATATTGGCTCAGGTCTTGATCTCAAGGTCATGGGATTGAGCCCCACATTGGGCTCGGTGCTGAGTGCGAAACCTGCTTGTGATTCTCTCCCTCTGTCTCTGCCTCTCTCCTACTCATGCTCACACTCTCACTCACATACGCTCTCTCTCACAAAATAAATAAACATTAAAAAAATTACTTTTTCCCTTATCATAGTGTATTTGAAAGGAACTCACTATATGCTTAAAGAATGGGGAGTTTTGCTCCACCTCTTTGATGGTCAAGTATCTACATAAATTATTTGGAATTCTTCTGCATAGAAAATGTATCTTTTATCCTCCAGTTTATGTATTTATTTAATAGTTCACATATACCAATGTGGACTCATGAATATTTATTTTATATGCTGGATAATGATTCACTATTACTTATTTTGGTTCATATTGTTTCAGCTTTGGCCAGTGGGAGTTCTTTCAGTTGGTTCCTTGAATATAACCCCATCCTTGTAAGTTTTTGTTTTTTGTTTGAGCTCTTTCTGGCACTACAAGATGCTGCAGGCTCATGTGTATGTCTCTCATCCCAGAATCTACCATTTCTCCAATGAGTTCTATTCTTTTTATTGGAGAGCAGTATTAGAAATTGAGATGTGGGTGCTATGTGTGCTCATTGCTACTGGGGTGTTATTGCTTCTATACCTTCTGAATTGATAAGAGCAAAAAGATATATATATATATATGCATATTAACTCATGTATATGTACATATCTATTAGTATTTATATGTGTAATCTCTAGTTTCAGCTGAACATGGGTTTATACAGAGATTTCCAACTATAGCCCATTATCCCATGAATCATTATGGTCTCCTCTCGTGCATTATCTGTTACTTTCTACTCCAACAGCCTGGCTTGGTTAGATTTTTTTTTTTTTTTTTTTTATGTTCATGTTAGGGTAGGTGAGTACATTGACAGTTGCCTCTATGGTTGAGTTTAGGGAGAGTTTAGCTATAGGTTGATTAAAAGTTTCTGAAATTAATTATGACTGTTCTACCCTAAATATTTCTCTAAGTTTTGAAACTTACAATAGGTTGCAGAAACAAACCTTTCTTAACAACTAGGCTCTATCCCAATTTCCACATTTTGCACCTCATTTTCAGGTTAAATTACTCTAATAAAGTTAGGTAATCTGTTTCTTGGGTATGCATTTATTTTCTCAGTATTTTTTTTGTGATTAGCTATAGTACCTTGAGAACACTAGAGGCGGGGAGGGAAAAGAAGGGCATGTTCCTATGTGAGGTAGAGAAAATCCATTTAGTGACCTCCAGCTAGCTCTCCAAAGTACCTACATAAGACCCAAGGAGTAGATTTTTTTCCTGGCATTTTGTAACCCAAATGCAATTTTCAACATTGTAATTTTACTGAATTTTGTTCAAGCTAATTGGTGTGCTAATTTTTAAGTGTTCTGATTGATGTGTCACTTGTATTGCATATGGAGTAGTAACATGTTAATTTGTATTGGGCATAATTTTTATATTTTATGTTAGATATTTGAGACACTTTCTGAAATCTGTACAAGTTTGACAGTAGGGAGCTCTTGTCTCAATTTTTTCCTCCTTCCCCTCCAACATTTATTATGAACATTTTCAGAAAAGTTGAAAAATTTGTTTAGTGAACACCAATATACTCACCACTTAGATTCTACAATTATCATTTTGCTCTATTTGATTAAACTTTTCTTTAAAAAATTCATATGCCCCTTCTGAGTTCATGGAAATAATTTTTAAGCTAAAGAGCATGAAAAAAATAAGAGTAAAGTCTTTGTGCTTAGATCGATAATAAAACTGTAAAACACAGCAAGTATACAAAGTAATAGTATATAAATGGCTACTAAAATGTGAAAATGTTACTATTATCGTATTGCTTCTTTGCAGCATGGCATGTCTTTTCTCTCATGTGCTGTTAATACCCTTAACCAAATTATTACCCTTTTCAAGCTGCTGCAAAATCTTGTTATAGCACATAGCAGTGCTATTTGTCTTTCATTTGGCACAATACTCATTTATATATTGATTTCCTCTGTCCTTTTCTTTAAACTCCAGGCAACAAAAGTAGTACCACTTGCCACTAATTTGGCACTGGAATTTTTCCATTTAAAGGTAGTCATCTAAATGATCTAGACTATTTTTATGGTGAAATATAAATGTGGTAAAAAATTTTGTAGAAGTCTCCTATACCCCTGAGTATCCTTGCCCATACCCCACAGGCAAAAGACCTCTGAATTGAGAGATAACCTGGGTTTAAGTACCACTTGGCCACCTACTAACTAGTTGTATAACATTGATGGAATTTCATCTCCAGGGCTCCCAGTTTCCTTATTTAGGGAATGAAAATGTCCAATTACATGATCAATAATACCCCTTCTAGCTGTGATGATTCTGTGACTTGGCTAGTGTTGGAGTACTTGAACCAGTTGGCCAGCTATGACACTAGGGTTTTAGGTCTAAAGTACGTTGACGTTTTGTTGAGCTATGAGATGACAGATTGAGAGTCTTAAAATTCTTGTCAATGAGTATTGAATCCTAAAATATGTGTTTTTTTTGTTTTGTTTTGCTTTTTTCTTTTTTACCAGTTCCAAAATGTAATCACTTTCTCTGGCTTTAGCTTCCCTTTGATGGAAAGGGAATGCTTCTTGAACATGTCATCAGTGTAAAAACAAAACTAGAAGGCTTTGGTCTAATGTAGCCATACTCAGTAAATATGGTTCAGAGTGGATCAGAAGATCTGGAGAGATTGGACTAGTCATTTCCTTTTAGGTATCTTAACTGGGGTGTGTATAAATGAATTTGTATTTCAATCCATTAATTTAAAAATTCTTTGAGTAAATTTACTTGTACATGGAATGCCCATTTACCATCATTAATGGGGTTTCAAGAAGGAGCAGAATAAATATGTATAGGTATGCATGAATTGCCATGTTTAACTGGAGGCCTGTATTAGGGGATAAAGTATCTAATCTTAAGGATGGGAAAGGATGTTGCCAAGAGATTTTGAAGCCTATTCGCCTATTCTGCTCATATTGAGAAAGAACATCATAGAACACTGGTTTGGTTTCACTGGATATCTTATCTAGGGAGTAGAGCTGAATAAGTGATCTTTTACATACTACTGTTAGAATTTGTTTGATATTGATATAAAGGTACTTATCATATAGTAATTCCTGATCAGGAATCTAGAAGCCATACCTGGTGCTTTCCACACCATACCATACAAAGTGCTTTGTTTTTATTGTTGGATTTCTCAACAGTTTTGGTGTCTTCCTGAGTCCTGTCTTTCTTCTCAAGGACGTTCTGAGCATGTGAAACCTGAGGACTGCAAGTAGCTCTAAGCAGCTTCACATTCAGCAGATCTTTCCTTTTGAGAATCTGGATAAACTCCAAATAATCTAAGATGATGGCTTGCAGGCCACCTGGAAAAAAAAAAAAAGGTAGTTTGGGGAGCTCATCATTATGGGAATTCTGTCTTTGGCTTTATGGACTTTAACTTCTTGCAGCTCTGCTTTTAAAACAGAACATGAGCCAGTTTTTTTTTAAAATCAATTCCTACATTTTTTTTGGTCATATACACATATATTTTGACTTTACAGATGAGTGTGGCCTATTATTTCATTTATCCCTCCAGAGCTAAGCTCCAGTGAGGTCTATAAGGGCAAGCATACTTGATCCCCATTTCAAAAACAAAGAATGAGAGACGCAAAACAATAAATCACTTCTTTTTGCATATCATAGCTACTTAGTAGGGAAGATAGAACAAACCTATCCATTCTGATTAGCAAGCCTTGAAATTGAAATTTCCACATTCCTTTGACAGACTAGTAGGTAAGTGTTGAGTATTTGTTGATGCATAGTACCAACTTGATATGTGTCCTAACCCTGTTTTGGCAGTCCCAATTCCATTGCCACTGTCATTCCCTTGTTTTAAAAAGTTGAGAATTTGTTAATTTGAAGAACCATAAAATTGCTGAAAGGTAGAATAACAGAGATCCAAGGGCCTGTGTAAGCTATTTACTGGATTCCTAGCTTTCTGTATCTTGTTTTTCCTTTTGCATAGATATGCTTAGATGTTGTTATAACAGGTGTTTTATATGCCTGTAACCATTATTGATTTCTCTGAATATCCTGGGATTCTGGTGGTGCCCCATTTATATGAGCTGTTCAAGAAAATGTACTATGTGGATTGAGTAGAAAACAGTTTTGTTTACCTTGGCATTGTTACAGTATGTTAATACTTGATATAAAAATTAAAAGAGGGAAATGCTATATAAAACTAGATGGAGAGGCACTTTGATTGAGGTAGATTGCTCAGTTCTTAAAATAGTGCTTTATAAAAGCCTGAGGCAATGTGAAGAATTCTTAAAGAACTCAGAGTCAGATCACATGGGAATTTTTCTAAGTGACTCGATGGCTCACTTGGTTGAGAAAACCTTACCTCTCTTACTTTCAAGCCCTTGATTTCTTGAACCCCATCCTATTTTATGATGAGAATAACAAGGTATTAATAATACACCCTAGAGAAATGCTCATCAATGGATACTGTAGAACAAAGCACGGTATGGGAATTTGGGTAGTTACTCAGTTTTAAATTGCTCTTGGAGATGAAGGGAAATGCAAGGAATGGAACTGGAATGAATAGAAGCATTTGCATGTTGTTAGGCTGGTAGGTAGGATATGGAGTGCTACACAGTTTTAAATTTTCACCCCTCAATCCATCTGAAGAAAAGGGCAGACAAGGTTTAATTTAATGACTAATTGCTAATTGGGACAGACTTTTCCAGTGTTCTGCATTTCAGTAACTTATTTTTCTTTTATCTCTTCTCCAGATCTTCCTCTGAAGAATAGGCTTGTTGCTCTACAGTGTTAGTGACCCATTCCCTTTGACGATCCCTAGGTGGAGATGGGGCATGAGGATCCTCCAGGGGAAAAGCTCACTATCACTGGGCAACAACCCTAGGCTAGGAGGCTTTACCAAGATTCTTTCCTGAGCCCAGGTAGGAAGTCTCACAACAACCGCCACACATCAGAGGTGGGTAAGTTGTCCCTAAAAGCATAAGTAGCTTTTAATTTTGATCTTGTTTTACGTTGCACTTAGTTTTCCATTAAGATTTTTTCCATTATTATCAGCTGTGTATGTTTTGGTCAAAACAGCTTCCTAACTAACCTGGGAAGCAACTGGGTGTGAGATGGTTGAAAATAATGTGAAGACAGTAGTAGGCTGCATGAGTTAGGATGTTTAGGGTAGGACTAGTGTGTGGTAGAGGCTTATAGTTAAATTGTTCTTTTTTTTAAATGTTTATTTTTTAGAGAGAGAGAGAGACAGAGTGCGAGCAGGGGAGGGACAGAGAGAGAGGGAGACACAGAATCCGAGGCAGGCTATAGGCATGGAGGCCGATGCGGGTCTTGAACTCACCAGCCGCAAGAACATGACCTGAGCCAAAGTTGGATGTTTAACCGACTGAGCCACCCAGGCTCCCCTAAATTCTTTCTTTAAGGAGAGCATGGGAAACAACTGCTGCATCTGCACCATTTATCATGGCATATCATCATTTTGGACCCTTTGGTCCCCAGAGTCTTTCTTGAGGCCCTATTGGGGAATCTTGACAATCATTTACATATTTCAAGATGCCTTGGGCTGTCTTTGAGATAAAATGCAAAACAAACTGTTTGCAAAGATACATAGGAGCTGTATCTTTTTATGCTGTACTTGCTGGTTGATGGAACCTGACCAGAAATGGCACAGTTATCTGTCGCCACACATCTAGGATGTAGGGTCTAAAGAACCAGGACCCTGCATACTCTAGGTTGGTGATAAGAGAAGCTGATTAGGGGGATGTAGGTTGGGAGATGGAGGTAAGCATCAGTAAGTAGTAAGCCCTGATTATATAGATTTTGTACAGATTATTCAACCAAAAGAATAAGACTGGGATTGATGGTGTTTGCAGTGATTCAGTGAGTGTTATTAGGCAAGATAGTTTCCTATTTTTGCCATAGTTTCCTATTCTGTTGAATGAAGAACGTGTGTTAGTTTTATCTCTAAAGACATAAAAACCTCAACTTTATGTTTCTAAGCTTTGTAGAGACCCGTTTCTATAGCTCATTAATTTGAATTTTCCCATAACTCTTGCCTAGTACTCAATTAATACTTCTTTATGGCATTTACATTGTTTCCCTCTCATTTTTTGTAGCTCCTGATTGTTCTCTTCTTATCTGCCAAATCATTGTATCCCCAAAACAATGCAGAGAGCAAGAAATTTGAACACATCAAAGGAAGATCAACATGCCTGGCATGCTAACATTTTAGAACAGCAGAATGAAGTAAGTCGTTAGTGTTATAATCCTGTGAGGATCACTTTAAAGCTAATAGTTGTTTGTTCCAGGTTTGTATAGGATGAAGTATGATGGTTTAACGTGCAGGGGGTGCCAAAAGTGAGTTCCGAGGATAACCAATAACCTGTATTACCAACTAGGTTCACTGAAGCAATTCAAAGATATTACAGTCTGTATACAGTTGTGTCAGAGTAATTGAGTCTCACCTTGTCTCTTCTTATCTTCACCGCATAAATGCCTTGATACTCTTAGAGATGTAAACTATAGAAGCCTAAAACAAAAAAAATGTTTTTTTTTCTGAAATGTTTTTTTTTTTTCCTCCATGGTTCTTTCTCACCTTCTCTTGTGAAAGCATCTACTGCAGTTAAGATTTAGTGTTAAAGGAAGCCCAGTCCCTGAAGTTGCCATTATAATTGGGAAGGGTGTGAAAATGAAGTCAGTTTTTTAAAGGGATGGGGAAAGGTGATGAAATAAAGTGAGGGGATTGACTAGATGCTCTCTAAGGGCCCTTTATCATAATATTCACTCATTTGTGGCATCTTATTTGGCTCTTTTGAAAATCCTTGTAAACAATTGAAACAGGATATTAAAAGGTACACATTCTGTTTAAATCTTCTGCTACTCAATAGGTGTATGGCTTTTGTCAATTTAGTTTGTGGTTAGACTTGTATGTGAGGCTTAAGTGAAATCATGTATGTAAAGTGTTTAGTACAGTGTCTGGCACATGGTAAGTAAAAGGCAACCCAAGAAGTTTTGTAAGTTCATTTGACACGATACAGGTGACCATTAATACCGTCTAGTGGGAGGCAGAGTTGGCATGTTTTGATTCTATGTAAGAAATTTGTAAGGTAAAAGTTTGTAAATAGAAAACATCTATATTGGTGGTGGTTGTTATAATAATTATTGTTAGTAATATAAGTAGTATTGGTACTGATGATAGCTTATATTAATTATTAATGCACTTTTTGGTTTTCTTTTGTTGTCTTCTTTTTGTGATGCTTCTCATATTCCTGTTGTGCCCCTTACTTTATCTTGTCTTTACTTCTTACCCTCTTCCTCTGAATGTCTACCTTTGCTTACCTCTTTCACTCATAAGTGTGTATTTCTTTGTCTATTTTTTTTCTTGAATCTCTTTGGTTTTCCTTCTCTGTCTAAAGTGTGTCTCAGCCATTCCATGATTCTCTTGTTAGTTTCTTCTCTGTGTATCTTTGTCTCATTTTCTTGTTCCTAAGAGTTGTCTGTGCCTTGTCTTGGATGTCTCTCTCCAGTTTTTTCATTTTGTTAGTGATTCTCTTTGTTCTCCTAGATCTGGCTCTTCTTTCACTGTTCTTCCTTTTGTGTCTCTGTGTCACATGATGTGTGCTTTTTGTTCATTTCTTGTTCTGCCTATACCTCTCTTCTTGTTCTGTTGTGAACTCTGATTTTTTGTCTTCCCTTACCCTTCTTATTGGTTTCACATTTCACCTTTTTCTCATTCTGCCTTCCCTTCTACTTTTTCTACTCATTATCTCAAATTTCTGTGTCTCTTGGGCCATTTTCTCTCTATTTTGTCCTGCTTTGTCTCAGTGTCTCTTTTTCTCTCTGTTTTTTTTCCTGCTCTGTCTCAGTGTCTCTTTTTCTCTGTGTTTTTTTTCTGCTCTGTCTCAGTGTCTCCTTGCTCTTTGTGATTTTTCCATTTCAGCATTCATCTCTGTTCTCTTGTTTCTTCTCTGCTTTTCCCCTTCTACTCACCTTTGAGTATTTCAGCCTCTTTGTGAGTCTGTGATTCCCCCTCTTTGACTTTATGCAGTCCTCTATCCTTGCATATTTTTGTGCATTTGTATGATCATGTGTGTGTCTTTGTGACAAAGGGGCTTCCTAACCCCTTCCCAATAGGTACAGTGTGTCAACTATCAAAATACACATTGCAGAGCTGTTCGTTATGCCAGGACACCCTGTGAGATGACCCAAGACCTATGATGGACAGAAAGTGGAAGGCCCATAATGGAGAGAAGGCCCAAAGTAAAAGACAGATGGTTTGAGACTTGAGACCTAAAGACAAAATGGAAAACCTGTCTCAAGATAGGTGGAAACTTCAGGCTTGAGACCATCT